CCCCAAAACCCCAAAACCCCAAAACCCCTTATTTATACTTAAATATTGATTTGTAAGTAATTTTAAACAACTTCAAGATCTTTGGGACCATAACTATACAATTTCTCGATCAAATCTAGAACTTGATCTTTTGGGACTAGAAATTCATCTCTTTCATGACCTTCATCTTTGTTGTTGTCCCAGTTCAGTACCTTGTCCTTCGGAACTTCTGGGAGTTTATCAAACCCTAAAATAGCTCCGATGACACCACCTGCAATACAAGCGTTTGTGTCAGTGTCGCCTTTTCCCATCAAGATCCCTACCATTGCTTCTTCGTAGAATCTAGAGTTAAGTTCCTCGTTGCTTTCTTGCTTCTGTGCTGCAAGTCTGAGACACCTGAGGCAGCAGACAAAGGCATGCTTCATCCAGCCCATTTGCTTATCCAAACTACCAACTTCATCGACTTCAGATTCTCTGACCCATCCACTGATAATGTCTTTGTATTTTTCGTCAGCTGATTTTTCGATGTCATCGATAATTGTCTGATAGACTTCGCCCAATGGGACCCCGTTGATGATCAAGGTTATCATATAGATGTATAATCCTCCAACATAGTGCACTGTTTCATTCGGATGAGTGAAAGTTGTGTCGAGCTTTACTGCTTCGAACACACAGTCTCTGTGTCCTTGCCAATCTTCTGAATTAAAAGATGGAGTAACTGAATCTTTGGTGTTAGGAATCTTCATGTTGTGACAGAATACAGCGAGAGGAGTAGATCTCATGAGTGATCCGTTGCTTTGAGATTTTTGATTGTATCCTCTTGCTTCCTCCTTTATATCTAATGGGTCTGGAGCTTTAGGATCAGCAACAGAGAGAGCATTCCCAATAGTAATCCCACAATCAAAAGGCCTTGAGTTCTTCCACTTTCCATAATATCTAGCCACCTCATCCTCATCAAACTTCCCTTTCCCTTCCACTAACGCATGCAGCAGAGACATTGTAAGCTCACCATCATCAGTAATTTGTCCTGGACCGACTCTAAAAACTCCTCCTCCTCGCATCTCTAATGCTTCCTCGGCTAAATTACAAATCTAACCTTAATCTTACCCCTTTCTTCAGTAATCTCTCCTGTACAAAACTCGAGCACCGCTCCAATAGCATCTCCGCACAGAGCTCCGATCACTGAGCCTTTGGCTCGATCGAACTTTGCGTCTTCGGCTGGGGAACTACCTACGCTTTCCTTCTGTTCTTCAAGGTGGGATGCTGGTGCGGCTGTTAGGTTTTCTAGTTGAGAAGTTAGAGGTTGCATGGTGGAGTACCCCAGTTCCCAGACCTAAGCTATTAAGAAGTACCTTTCCTATCCTCTTGAGGCCCTAACCCCTCCGAGGCTGGTTGCCCATCTTGATATCCCTCTACAAATTCTGTTTCCATTATTTCTCAGAAATAGTCTTTTAAAATGGTACATTTCAGTTCTTTTTCTCAAAAATGGGGTTTTGGGGTTTTGGGGTTTTGGGGTTTTGGGG